ACGCATGCAACATCTCCATTACAGAAATTACATAATCACCTATTTCATGATCTTTTCTGTTTAACTCCTAGTTTTTGATGTTCTATTCGCCTTGAGCACTTGTTTCCCTGACTACAATAATTTTCCAAAAATAGAAAATATGCTCTCGCAATTTTCAATGCAAGAAATCTATTTTATCTTATTTTTATGAGGATCAATATTATATGGTAACTTTTTTGAACTGGCTCTGTTCAAAGTTAGCTATCTTATTTTATTTCAGAAACAAAATTAATGATATGAGAAAAAAAGTAAAGCGTCTCCTATCACATTTTTTCCTCTCTAATATTTGCTTTTATTATTTTATCATCACACCATTTTATAATCATGTTTAATTTTTTTTCGTTGTGATCAGGCAATGTTGGTATGGTCAAGGATGCAACAGAATCCACTGCAAGAGTTGAACTCCACACAACTTGTCAAACCATCTCGGTTGACAGGTCTCACATTGCCGCTGTTGGAGCAACCTCCAGGGTACATTTTTTAATTTTTATTTTCCTGCTATTCTAACCATTTATTTCAATTTTTTGAATAAAGAACTGTAGGGGACTTACAGTCAATCAAGTCCTCTTCCTGTACTTCACAAAGAATCTCTTGATTGCTGATTCAAGGTGGATCAGACCTGCCGAAATTTTGAATGTATGGTATCATTTAGAGCCTATACTCTCAGCTTTGAAATGATCTATGGTTTTTTGGTTTTTGACCAATCTGTTGCTAGAGAATTTGTTTATGATAATCTCCAAGAATTTCCATTTTGACCATTTTTTTAAGTAAGTAAACCCCCCTATTTTTCCAAGCACTTTTTAAGTGATCAGATGGTTGCCGAACAAAGACTGTAATAACATTGAAAAACTGAAAGTAAAAGCTTTATAGCCATGTATTTGATTTTTTTTTTTTTTTCAACTCTAATCTTGCTTGAGGAGAAAGGAAACCAGTGGTGTGATCTGTGAAATATCCTTGTGCCTTTTACAACGTAATGCAAACATATGCAATTTTAAATGAATGCTATTTATCAAGTAATAATGCTAGTTCAACGAAATTTTTCCTGGGGGGAAAAAAAAAATATAAAATTATTTATCTTCCTGAAAGTAATCAAGTAATCTTTTTACAGTTTAAGAGAAGGTTACTGTAACCGTTGTATTTTCTTTTTTTCTTTATAGGATGGCTCTCTCTCCAGCTACAATCGAACGCCGTATGGAACCTCTGGACAAACACCTATGCATGGTTCTATGACTCCTTGCGACGAAGGTATAGAATCTTCAATACTGCTCCGGTCAAATTCTTACAGACAATTCTCCTGTCTCTGTTACCATTAGTTTTCCAATTCATTTGATATTTTATGTTATTTACTAAAAATTACTTTCAACTATGTAGCTTCCCTCAAATTTTCAGACTTCAAATGTCAATACAGGGTGTTTAAAACATTTTCAAGAACAATGAAAACGGCCAAATTGAGGTGTTTTTGACTGTTTTGATAAAATTTTGAACATCGCTCAGCTAAGAACGAAAGTCCAAAGAACCAAGTAGAATGCTTTCTCCCAAAAAATGACTCTAATGGCTTGATGACTGCTGCTTACTCGTACCTACCATTTTATGTGTCATCCAAAGTTTTCAATTTTGACGGTTAAATAAGTATTATTACATTTCTAAAATTTACTCTTACATGAATTCTATCAAATCTGTATAGATTTTATATCTGACAATGCTCTCGGATAGGTTTTGTAAGTTTTATTTCATCGAGTATTTCAATGTATCATTGATGATAAATGGAGAAATTTTTGCATCAAAGATGCCATCTCTTTACCAGGGTTCCTTTTGGCTGGAAGTCTTTTCAGACTTTTTAAACTCTAATTCTAGGGTGTCAGAAATCTACGGACTCAGAATTTTTGTTATATCCTTTTGGTTCAATTTCATAGGTTCATGTAGCCATTATTTTGTTTCCTAACAATGGATACTCAGCTGTCATACTTTTTTTTTGTAAAAAGAGAAAGACGGGGAGAGAAAAAAATCAGTCTCTAGGCACCAAAATATGTTAGAAATTATTGATCCTTTTGCTCAATCAGAAAATTTTCTTTTTCAGGTTCAAGGACTCCTCATTATGGTGGCATGACGCCACTGCACGATGGTTCACGCACTCCTGGTGCCTGGGACCCGTCGGTCACAAACACCCCTGGAAGATCGGATGATTCATTTTTATACACCCCCCAGACCCCCAACTCCCTGTACGCCTCCTCCGACCATTCGTATTCACCCATTCAGCCAAGCCCATCACCATCTGGTCTCTCTGGCATGAGTGAGTATTTTCCCCTTTTGCTTGCTTTTATTTGTTATTTCCACAAATTTGTTGATTTTTAGGGCACAGCAAATTTTGAAATCTCATTTCCAAGTTTTTGATCAGACAAGAAAATATCTAAGGCTTGTGAGTCCTTCTAGCTCAATTTTAAAATCAGTTGTTTGGATTTGCTTGGTACACAGAAAAATTTTTAGAGCCCTAAAAAGTATTACATTGATGGTTCTATTATTCAATCTGTAAAATAAAAATAAAATAAACAGTCTTTTCCATTTTTTCTAAAAAATTATTTGCAGAAAGTACCTATCTACCCAGAAAATGTGGCGGTACATATTTTCCCTATTCCATATTCAGTTAAATTTCAGTTGAGAAAAGGACTCCAAAGTCGCAAAATGTTGGGTCTTATTTTATACAAAGATGGTTATACTGACAGATTTTTTGGCGCTGGCCATTGTCTTGATCTTCTCATATGTTTTTAAAAAGATTTCCATCTGTGTTGTGTTCCAGTACATTCCAATTCTGGCCTCAGTTTGAGACTCTGTAGTGTCTTTATGATATAGTAGTTATTGTTGAAAGCTTTTTTTCCAGCTTTTTCACACTTTCTTTGAATATGTACTTCTATTGATAATGTGAAAGCACTGGACAAATCTTGGAAATAAAAAATTTCCCACAGTGATTCAAGCATCTTTGATAAAGATGAAATGACTGGAGGGTTTGACTAGATTCTGTAATCCACCCTAAAGAAGATGTTAGGTGCCCGAAAATCCATCAATTTTATTTGATTTTATTTTTTGTGAGTTTGAGTTTATTATTTCGACTCTTTCGAAAATTCATTTTGTTTTTACCGCAGTCTTAATCCTCACAGTTTGGCACCTCGTTCTTTTTCAGTTTTTTTTTGTTATTATCGCTTGCATTTACTTATGATGTAAGGCATAATCATATATTTTTACTTGACATTTTCTTTTCTTTCACTATCCAAGAAATTTTACACACAATAAAAATGAATAACTTAATCAGCTACAAAACACAGTAAGAAACAACTGCATCCAGGGAAAGGTTGTAAAAAACCCAAGACAAAAGTCGAATTAAAATTTTGTTTTAAATATTAAAATTGCATTTTCAATCGGCAAAATTAAAAAAAAAAGGAATCGTCAAGTAGCTATTATTGCAATGTAACTTCTGACTCGCTGACAATACTGGCTCATCTCGTAATAACAAAAGGTCAACAATTCAGTTTTTTCTTGATTTTCCCTCTTTAATTTTGTCAGCTGAAAATGAAATTTTAAACTTATAGAAATTTAATTTTTCTCTTTTATTTCTTGCAGTTTTTATCCAGGTCAATCCTTTTTCTTAGACTGATGATAACTCAAACTGTTCTTCTTTTTTGTAATCAAACAATTTTGTTTTCCTTCCAGTGGATGACAACCAAAGCATAAGTAATGAACTGCACAATTGGCTGACAACCGACATAGAGGTCAGGATAAAAGAATCTATCCATGACCCAGACTTAGCTGGACAAAATGGAATCGTCCGAAATATATCAGTAAGTGAATGTTCGTCTACTAGCCGATTTTTGCGAATATTACTG